ATTAAAACATCAACCTAGTCTTATAGCACCAGCTGTTTTAGCATTTTGTCATAGAGATATGTTGGATATTAAAGCATGTCAAACAATGAAGTAATTAGATTTGTATTTAAATACTATAGCAATTATTGATAAATGTATTTGTTTTGTTTTTAGAAATTTTCCTCCCAAAGATAGAGTAATGTGCTCTGTGACCATGACTAAATGTTTATATGCTATGCTTATAAAACAAAAATGTGTTCCTGAAAAAAGAACTGGTTGGGATTTAGTTGAACCATCAGACTCGCGTTACAAAGCACAAATTACAGGAATAAGAATAGTAAGTATGATACATTTTATTTTTACTTTAAGTATAAAATTTAATTGAAAAATTTGAATATGTTTATATTAGATAATTTATACTGTACTTATTAATAAAATGTTAATAAAATGATATTTAAAAATTTAATTATTATTATGAATAATAATTGATAGGACAAAAATGATTGTTCCTGGTATTAATATAATAATATACAATACAAACAGTAAAATTTTATATATTTTATTTACTTTTTTTAAATTAAGAAAAAACATTTTTTTTTTTTTGTTAGTACATAAATAAACAAATTTTAAGTCTTATAATTTCTATACCATAGCTTGGTATTAGCTTTAATATTTTTAATTACATTAATGCATAATATAAAATATAATAAAATTTAAATAATGAATTTTTATAGTATTATTAATTGTAAGAAGGAATCATTCACACTTAGAAAAATATTTGGTTAAATTTTAAAACACCTTATGGAAAAACTAAAATGCCTATTTCTTACATATATAAGAAATATGTGTATATTTATACATGATAAATTGTGTATATTTATGTATAATTGTATGATTATTTTTTATTAAGGCTTGTGGATTTGAAATATTAGTCAGTCAAGCAAAATCAACTGTTAAAAATACACCTGTGGATTTAACCTATGACAAACGTTGGCATCATTACAAATCTTCTTTGGCAGACAAAGGATACTTTAAAGTAATATTTAATTTAAATTTATTAGTTTATTTGATTTATAGAAACAAGATATCAATATTTATGTTTTTAATTAACAATTTATTTTTAGTTGTTTCTTTAAAATAAAATTATTTGACTATCAATTCTAAGATATTTCCTCGTGTGTACAAATCTTTTTTATAATTTTATCTTATAAGATTTTACTTATAAATAATTAATATTATTACACTATCAAGCATAATAAATAATAAACTTTATTTTACAAAGAATCATCTTAAAAATACTTTGTTTAACAATTTATTTTGTCATTTTGTCTTGATTCCAATTTTTTTGTTTGAAATATATGTATATAAAATATAAAATATTGAATTAAATAACATAATTTAGTAATTCACATAATTCACTTTAGTTTTAGTGTTCAAAATGTTTGAGAATAACACAAAATTACCCATAATACAGTTATATTAAATAATTAAAATTTAAATATTACTATTTGTCATGTACATTATAAAATCATATTCATTTTTATGTTTGTTACAGAATTTATATGAAGGTTCAAATGGATACAAACTATTAGAAGATCAAGCTAAACAATATTATCTATCAAATGTAGATGAATATTTATCATCTCCATCAATTAGTCAAAGAATTAAAAATATTTTAGATGGTGTTACTGAACAAGAATTAACACAGTTGAAAAGCAGTACTTTAGATCTGAAACCAGCTGATGATGAAAAGTGGTTAGATGTATCACCATCCGATTTAGATCGTATTTTAGAACAAAAGTTTGGTTTAAAAAATTCAGAACAATCTTCTGCATCGGACTTTGCTTCGTCTTTTACTGATAAGATAAGAAGCTTTTTGAACCAAGCATCTGATATTAATGGAGCAGATTTTTCTAAAAATCATCTTAGGCAAGTGTAGATTATGAGAAAATAGAATATTCATTATTGCACATTAGCATTACTTTATTATTTAATTTCTAGCATCTAATAGCATATATTTTAACTCTTATATTTATGATATTTAATTTTAGAGACTAATATTGTCTAATTTATAATTTAATCTATTTAACAGTGATGATTCTAATGATTCTGATGACGAAGATAAACCTGATGATGATAAGCTTTCCAATTTACTAGTTTGTGGACTAGATGTAATGCGTCCAACAGATGATGATAAAGATGCAATAGCTGTTAGATACAAGAAAAAGAAAAAGAAAATAAATGAAAAAAGTAGTGTAAATTTTGAACCTGAAAAATATGAAGCTGCACTCAAAAGTATTTTAGGTATAATTTAATAAGTTCAATTAAATAGATTTTAGCTAATATTGTTTTTATAAATTTTAATGTTTTTAGATTTTAAAATTCCTGAAGATAATTGGGATGAGTCAAACAGTTCTGACATGGATTCATATGGCAGTGATTGTGATGACATAATGCCAGGTATTAATTAGTTATTAAAATAATTGGTATCGAAAAATATTTTCTTAACAGACATTTGCTATACTTCTATTAAATAGTATTACTTTATAATCATACATTTTAATTTAATTATTATACTAATTTTATTAAGAATGAGACTTATTTATTATTAGTTTCTTTTGTGTAAATATATAATGGATAATAATGGATAATTAAAAAATTGAAAATAATTTAAAAAAATATACCTTAAATTTTATAAAAATGTTAATTTTACACTATTAAAAGTACTTATGCAAGTTTAATGAGTAATATTATTTAAAATAAATATACAATATTTAATGTAATTGTTTTCGTATAACCCATTGGCTAATATCAATTGATGTCATAAAAATTCACAAGACTATCTGATCAGATATTCTTAACTGGAATTTGTTAATAAATCAATTTACTCCTTATTAAAATTGACTATGCAAAATGTATAATGCTAAACCCAAATTTGCTATATTATGCATATATGTCTGTGATACAAGGACAATGTAGGTAGTGTCCTTTTAAGTCAAATTACTTACAAATAATTGAACTGCTTTTTTCATAATATTTTTTTAGGAAGTCAAGCTGGTTCTAGTTTTTCTAGTTATATGGCTCAAATGGATAAAGAACTTGCATCTACATCTTTAGGAAGTAGTTTTGTAAAAAAACCCAAAAGTGACAACAGTAAACTAAAAGTATGTTATTGATATTAAGTTCACCAATATATTTTCTTTTAAATTTTCATTTTAATTTCTTTCTCACAGAAAAGTGTTAGAATAGACCCTACAGCCCAATGTCAAGATAGCGAAGAAGATAATTTCTCTGATGTGGAAGATTTTGAACCTGTCGACATAGACGTGAATGCTTTTCAACACATTCTCAAATCATATAAAGAACAGCTTGGTTTACCAGGACCTGCTGGCAATCTTTTAGGGCCAGCTGGTCTAAACTTAGGCCAAGATTCTTCCAAATGATTTTTTTTAAATTTTAAAGTACAAATTATATTCTTATCTTTTTATACATAACTTTTATTTTACATGCATACTCTCATATATATATAATTTACTGTCTAGTTTTTAAAAATTAAATAATTCCAAGTATTTTATATCTTTTAATTTTGATAAATGTTTTATCATAATTAAATTTTGAATTAAAAAAAAAAAAAAATCAACTTTTTAACATTATATAGGTAATGATTATCTTTTAAAAACATCCATGATAATGTTTATTTACTCTAGTCGTGATTTGTTTTGTCATATTGTGTATAAATACAATTTTAAACTGATTCTATATGACGTCTCTAATTTTTTCTATATTTAAATAAATCACCTATTGGATTTTTTTTGTTTGCATTTGATACAAATATTCACCAGCCTATTATAATAATATGTATATTTTTCTATCAGCCTTTAGCCTAAACTTTAAAAAAGTCTGAGTACTTTGTAAAAATCAATGATTAAGTTGAAAAAAATTGTATGATTTTTTTTGTGATTCCAATAACACAACAACAGAAGTTAAAAAAAAATATATATTGTTTTGGTTTTGATAATTAAATGATTTATTTTAAAGTAGGGTAATACAAAACAAATAAATATATTAATAATTTTCAAAAATATACAAACTTAAGCAAATCAAATAAATTAATTGACTGGCTAGACACTTTGTTATGATGTGTGTTATAACATCTATTGAAAAATAATTTTAAAAAAAATTTAATTCTTAATGAAAACAGGATACATGAGTAATAAATAAGGTAATAATGTAATAATTATTTGCATTGTGTGTCACACATATAATATGATATATGCCATGTATGACATATTATTACTAAGCCCATAAACTGTAAACTATAATCGATTTTATACCATCATAATATATATTAAACATTTTCGCTATGTACTGCAGTTCAAGATATACAAACGGCGAAAATTAAACTTTCTCATGATTTCATATAGGTTAGATAGTCGCTAATAATATTCTATTATTTTATTTGTGTCATTAAAATAAAATTATCGATCAATTACAGCATGTCATGTACAACATGTACAACACGATACTTAAGTCTAAGTTATGGGGACATTGGGGACGGGCATTAAATGGGATTTCGATAGAGCTCGATCAAAGCCAACCCATCAGAAACGAAATAGCAAGCATAAGACTCGTATGGAGTACAGACACGTAGATATAATATAATATTTAATACTAAATAAATATTAAAATATATATACCTATTTAAGTGCGCATGTGTGTGTGCCCAAGAGGCATCAAAAGTCGCTTCACTGTAGTTGTATCAGTGAACGCGGGCAAAGATCATCGGAAACAAAATATAACAATAATAGCTTAGGTATAGTATGCGTACTGATAAGCTTGATGGACCGACCAGCGCCGCGCGTGTGTGTGTGTATTTAATTGATTCGAATAAATAATATTAAAACCGATAATGTTCCAAATCGCGTCGAGAGGATGGGTGAATGGGCGGATATAAATTATTATTATTATTATTTCAATACAAGCGCACAACGATTAGTATATTATGTGGAGCAGTATACCTATTAAGTTTATAGTATTATAATCGCTGTTTCAGTTGGTCAGCAATTGTGCGTGCAAAAGGTTTAGAATATAATATATAACATTGGACATTGGTTTTCCGGGGCCTGCGAACGGTTTAGATTTTAAAATTTTAAATCGATTTTTTCGCGGTCCGGGTGCATGCGATCGAAGACAAAACGACAGCGACATAATAACTATTTGCCTGTCATGGACGTAATCAAAGTGGCACCAGATAACAACACTACATTGGATATGCAACTCGATTTGGAGGATGAGCCAGTGAATAAGGAACCCCTCGACGATTGTCTGGTATACAGTGTCAGCGGAAATCCACCATCGTACTTGACGCCGCTGCTGGCCATACAGGTAATGATTTTCACTAATATTATAAAATATAATTTACCATTTATTTTAATCGAATAAAATTTTGAAATTTAATTAATACATTTTGTCTAATTAATAATCATAATGGTACAGATTTTTTAACAGTTATCCAATATTTAACACATCTCCAATATGTAGTGACTCGATAACTAGGGTACCTAATTCGAAATGCCTAAAGATTGGTATTTATGCGTTATTCTTATATTATAATAAGTACATATTTATAATGTGTGAATATATAAACTAAACAAGGACACACAATAAATATGTATTTATCGCTATTGTTATAAACGTTTTACAGAACGTAGTGACCACTTTAAGCTGTTTGATCTTCGTGTATAATATTTTGGCCCCGAAATTGTGCATTTTACCAGAGGACCCGGCACGAGCGCACTTGCTGGCCACAGCTGTCATGGTGACCGGTATCAGCACCGCATTGCAGACAATTTTGGGTGTAAGGTGAGCATAAACATTAATTATTTTCATCGAATGACATCTTTATTTTCCTTTAATTTTTTTTTTTTTTACTGTGTGACGTTATCTGAAATATTATCTCTGATAAAATGCGGTTATTGGGCAGTTTGTTTAGCTATTATTTATGGTCATTTTTTTTTTTTTATTTATCTAAGTTAATTAAATATTGTGACTGGATAAATATTCAATTGTCTTACAACTATATACGCCTGTAAAAAAGTAATATGACCTATAATGTAAAATGAATTTCGTTCCTTATATTTATATTTAGTCATTTAACCATAAACTAAAATTTAATGAAAAAAGAAAACAAAAATTATAATAACTACATAGTTATTGTACTTTTATTAGAACATTCATAACTCTGTACTAACTCCTACTAAATTATAGTATATTGCATAAAATCATTTTTTTTTTTTTTTTACTCGATAAATTTGGTGTACCTACATTTTTAATAACGCTTCCTTGCCCCATTACCCTAAATGTATTTTGTATAGCTTCAGCACTGTAATTCCCTATACTTTATGCAGATTAAGTTAGATTATTTTATGAAATTTCGTATGTTCTGCGATAAAAAAAATAAAAATATTTCCGTTTATATTTCTATCATTATGAGTTATGACTAATATTATATTAAGTGTTTCGTGTTTTATTAATGCTTATGTGATATATTATTCTTGTGATACTATTTAAATATAATAAATATAACGTTAAATAGACTCCCGATTGTACAGTCCAGTGGATTCGTGTATTTGTCCTGCACGCTACCCATATTAGATCTACCGAAATGGCAATGTAGTAGTAACATTGATCTGTTCACGATGGGTCCCGAGGCCCGGACGCAAGTATGGAATCTCCGCGTTCAAAACATTCAAGGGGCTATGATCATCATCGGTATCATTCAAATGTTTTTGGGCTACTCTGGTAAGAATATAACCAAAAAAATTTTAATTATATTTAGGGGAGTTGAGCATGGTTGCTACTGTACCATTTATATAATATGATTGTTTTAAGATAAATACTCGTTTTTTCGTAATATATTTTAAAAATAGTTTTGTAATGACTTCAAATTACATAAAAAAAAAAAAATCAATAGCATTAAAATCTGTGTTTAGCTTTAAAAGACTTATCTATACACTATATGGTTTATATGTTGAAAATATGACGGAACATACAGAATAGTGCTTTATAGTAGTATTAATGTTAAGGTTTAAATGCCCATATTAAATTATGTATGTATAAATATTTTATAAAATCAAACTAGACTTATAATTATAAGAAAATGCAAAAATCCTCAATCTCAAAAAAATTCAATCGTTTAAAATAATTACCATAAGAAATACAATGAATTTCCTACCATACTTATATCTTATCTAATCACATTAATTATTCTAATTAATATCTCTTAACTGTACAGGAAGAAATAAAAAAAATCTGTAATAGCTTTTAAGTTTTTTTTGTTATCTTGGTTTCGTTCTCAATGTTTATCAACTAATGAAAATCCCAGTAATTCTCCAGTGTTTGAAGCATTGATTATGTAGAAACAAATTTCTAAATTAATATTTTTTAATTAATAAATAAAAAAGAAAACCTATTAGAAATTATCATCAATGAACAATTTCTTTCATAATTTTACTCAATTCATACTCTTATTTTTTCTTCAGACACAGATAATTGTGTGTATAAAATAAATAATAATAATAATAATAAAAAGAGTGTAAGTACACCATGTTTCTCCACCTCCCAAGTACGCGTTACAAGCAGCTTAGTACCTTTAAGTATACATCATAATTTAACATTTAATATGTACGCATAAATGCCAATAATTGTCTGGCTTAATTTGAAATATTCTGTAGGTACACAAAAATAAGCATCTTTATTTTAATCAAAGTTGTCTGGGTATGATGATTTATTTATCATTTTTATTATAAACTTAGTCTCATTGAATACACGAGCATTGTTTGTAAAAATAATATTGAATAAATAAACTTGAATATTTGATCAGTTTGTTTTACTTTTTACTTTTATTATAACCAAGTTTAATTATAAGTTTTCTCTAAACAATAATTTATTTATCATTTAAAATAAATATTAATTTGTTAGATTATTATTTTATTAATTGCTCTTTGGCCATTTTCGTCACATTTAATTATATAATTAATCGTTTGGTGTGATATTAGTAATCACTTATTTTTTATAATTATTATACACAGAACATATTAAATTATATTATTGAGATTTAATACCATTGATCGTCTTGACTGTTACATATATTGATTATTAATAGTATTAATACTAATATAAAATAACAGTGACCCAACTAGTGAATAAATTATTATTGTAAATCAGTTTTTTTCAAATTAATGAAATTTGTATTTAAACTGAGAAAAATCTTCAACTGTTCAAAATTAAAGGCGTAGCTCATATAAATAATGTATATTAAATATTATACTATACGAAATCTAGGTAAGTAATAATTGAAAAACGTAAAACATTAATATTTGTTTATCATCAATAATCTAATAAATATGTACATATTCTTACATATTATTCATAATACCATCTTACGATTCGTTTTTTATTTATTGATTTAGAAAATCGTCTTTTTACCTATAGACTATAGTCTATAGGTCATATATGTATAGGTTTAACTGATCGTTATATCATCATTATCGGCGACACATTGTTTTTTTCGCATGTTACACATTGTTATAGCAAACCACATTTTAATTGTGTGCTGTTGACAACCAATTTGCAGAAATCCAGACAGGTTTAAGTATGGCGTCAACGATAATATTAATAAAATGCTATACGACTTCAGCACTATGCGCGTACAATTTAATTTATTTATGTATCTTTATAAGTTGTATTCAATATTGAACCTCTTTCCGGTCATTTGGAGACCTCACTTGCTAATAACCTAACCTTCATCGTCAAACGAAATAATAATACGTATAGGTGAGACTATATATATAACATCCTAAGAAAATATTGATCTAAGTTTATATAGTGAAAAGTTGATAAATTATTATTTTCCCGAACGAATTATGAAAATATTTCTTTATTTCAGACATTGTCGAAATATTTCTGAATATTTCAATTAAAATATTTTAAACGTTAAACTTATAGAATGTTGTGAAAATTAATCTTGATTGGTATTAAAAGTGAAAATTATTGCAGGTCCTTTAGTAAAACACTGTTTAATTTAATTTACGACATTTATGGCATAAAAAAAGTAGTAATGCAATAGACGTATCGCGTAACTTTTCCCAAAAGTCTGCTTTTATATGTTATTTTTTACCATTAGATAATTATACATAAATGTACATAAATAATTTTAATTATTCAAAAACCAAACCTTCAAGTCTAATAAATCAAATTTATTTTAAAAAATGTCAGTAATGTTTTCAATATCAATATTATTCATTATATTTTCTTTATGGCCATAAGACGTATGAATGACTATAAATTATTATTATTTATATGAATAGCCCCCTAATTTATACCAGTCATGGTACACCAAAAAAAGTTTCGATATCTCCCCGGCCTTGATTATCACAACATATGTTTCAAGATTTCTCAGATTTAGAATAATATTTAAGATAAATTATAGCTAAATATGCACGCTCTATAAAGCAAGGGTTGGGAAAATAATTTCTATTTGAGTCTGAGAGATTAAAATAAAATGATAAATGGGGTGCAGAAATAAAATCTTTTATTATAATTTATAATAGTATTATTTTATCTTTTTTACCTAAAATTAAAAATTAAAAACAACTGTTTGTTATAATATTGAAATTTTAATGGCGCCAACTTGCGACCGTTATGGCTGCGTTTTTAGGTATAAAATTATTTATAAGAGTTTCATATAATTAATAAAATATACATTTATTATAATTAACAAGTATGAAAATAATTATAAATTAAAATAACGAGTTGGTGGTTTAATTGAATTATAATTTATTAATTATTGACTTATTTGATAATGCGTGATTGTCATTGATCAACTTTTTATCTCTCTCTCTTATGGTACATTTTTTTTTTTTACTAAAACAAAGCATATTTGTATATCTGTAACGGAGACGAGTTTAAATAATACCATTAATTATAATTGGTACTAATAAAATAATACGATACATATAATTTGTGTTATTATTATACAATCCAACGTGTCCTGGTTTTGAGAACGGACTTATTGTTTATACCCTATTAGTATACATAATATATGTAATATAAATCAAATAAATTATAATAATATTATACGTTGAATGTTATATTTTTTTGTCGTTTTAACTTTGCAGGATTTATTGGAAAATCGTTGAAGTACATCACGCCATTGACCGTAGTACCAACCATGTGCCTCATAGGACTGTCGATTATCGAAAAAGGAGTGATTCTAATGTCGGGAAACTGGATCACGGCCATAATGTAAAATTAATTTTAACGTAAAATATCAAATTATATATTACTATGTTTAGTTTTCTATTATACTTAAAGTTACTACGTTTGATGTCTATAGTAAGTTTACACGGTGTGACATTAAAAATCGAAAATAAGAAATCAGGTTACCGTCGACACATTGAGCGTTATGTTTTTGGTTGTATTTTATTGCTGAAAATACCGCGACGATATGACATCAAACATCCATTAAAAACCGTTTGGGTAGGATTGTAATATTATTCTTATTATAGTATATTGTAACCCGCAATAAAGTGATTAAATTCTGAGAAATGAGAATATTTTAATGGTAACAATAAAATTAAATATATAAATCGTTTCTATTAAAAACTGTTATGATTCTATTAGAATAGCTAATAAAGAATTATTAAAATCCTCGCTTAAAATGTATAAGTAAATTTAATAATACATTTTTTTTATGATTCTGTATCTAATAGCTCTACCTAATTTAAGACTAACGTTTGACATTTTAATAGATATAATTATAGCTATATTACGGCTTATGAGATTTATGCAAGTCGTGGATTTTGATATCGTGCAATACTTGACATTACTGTATAAAAATCAATATTAATCTCATTAAAGTAACTGTGGACAAAATTTCTGAATACCTATTTATTTTTTAATAGCAAAGAAAAAACGATAACGCTACACATAAGTTGCCTCCTATATCATATCAAAATAAAAATATAAATTACTGTTTCCTATGAAAAATTCAAGAATGAACCAGTGACAATTCGAATAGTCTAAATTAAAAATCTATTAATTGGACTTGATCATCTATTCTGATTTGCTTGTACGTGAAAACCTACCAGTATTACAATAACTGCGGTATACTTTACTAATAAACTTACCATACATTAAATTTCCAATAATTGTTTCAAAATTCTTATCGTTATTGGTATACTTACTCATTTTAAATTTTTAATTATTGATAAAATCATTTAAAAATATATGAGAAAAAAAATAATCATCTGATAAAACAATTATAAATACAAATCACATAGAAGATAATAATAATTTCATTATACAACATTTTAATATTATTAGAATAAAGAAATCGGTCAAATATTTTTTTATAGTCAACGTTGAACATTTTGTTTCTATTTTGTTATTGTGCATGATTGAAATGTAAATATTAATTTAAAGTATATTAATATTCTTGAATTTAAACAAGTAAAAATTAAAAAATTAAACTATCATATCATTATAGTATCAGTGTACCATGCACGCTATGCTCAGTTTACTTTGTTAAATAACGCTATTTGGGTAATGATGATAAATAATTAAGCATATTAAACCCAAAAATAATGTTTAATAATATTATATTAAGAGTGCAGTGTAACGTATCATTTATTCAGCACTAAAAATGAATAATTAGTTATTTTATTTTTAAGACTGATCGAAAAACTCATTTAACTATATATTCATATTAATTCATATATTATGTTTTATGTTTACAGAACGCTAATTTTATTAACATTATTTTCACAATATTTACGAAAAGTAGCCATTTCCTTGCCAGTCTACTCGTCTCAAGATGGATTGTTCAGAGTTCGGTTGAAAATTTTTGCATTGTTTTCGGTGAGATAAAAATAGTTTACCGCATATGATGAACTTTATCACTTATTATTTGTTGATTCTAAATGTTTAACTAGATATTACTCAGCATGAGCATTATGTGGATTGTATGTGCTTATCTGACTTCCTGGAATATTATATTGCCAACAGACCCGACAAACACGGAATCAAAGACTGGAGTATTACGCAACGCACCGATGTTCCGAATACCTTATCCTTGTAATAAAATATTATTGAGAATTCGTTTCAACATTTGAGAGTTCTCTGCAGAGCGCAAAACGTATTTCGTTTTTATAATACGAGGAGTACCTATTTTTTAAAATCTTAATTTATCTATTTTTTGAATTTGAACAGAAATTAGGTTTGGATCAAGAAATCTAAAATGGTGGGGTTTACATATTTTTCAGAAAAAAATACTTTTATAATGTTAATATAGGATAGATTATAGAAACATTATATAGATAAGATTTGATAAGATTTTTATTTAAGTTTTAAATTAATGGAGTGTAAGATATATACACTATTACTTTATTACTGATACAGGAATATAAATACACAATATATAGTATTTAGTATTTTTATATAGTATACAGAAGTCTATGTAATCTGGAAGGCCATCTTTATAATAGATCATTTGCAACTTTAGTAAGAACAATATATCACTACCCCACCAAACAGGAAAAAAGATAAACTCGTACTCTGTTTGTGCTCACAATTTGTTGATGCGAGTTTTACGAGTAACTAGTAACTACGTCTATATTATTTTACTTAAATTAATGATTATACCTGTGATGTGTTCTCTTAGTTCAATGGGGTTGGCCAACATTTAGCTTGACGTCGGTGTTGTTCATGCTACCCGCGCTTTTTGCTAACATCGTAGAGTCTGTCGCCAATTATTACACGTGTGCAAGATTTTCCAGTGAGTATTTGATGATATTATTGTAAAATACCGATATATACGACAATTTATAGCATACTCCGAGCTTATTTTACCAATATTAATGATAACTGCTGTTTTTTTCGAATTAATAATATAATCATTAATCAGTCACATAAAACAATGGTTTTTGCGGATGGTTGTTGACGAATTAAAATAATTCAGTTGTTCTTCATCCAATTTTTTCTTATCTGTTAATAATAGTTGTTTAAATCGTATTAAACCACTAAAATTAATATATTCAAGAAAAAATTTACTGAAATATTTTACTATAATTTATTTTTTTTCCAATTTTATAAATGATAGTTTACGATACTTGTCAATGATGTCTGAGATCTTTATATTAACTGATATAAATTACATGACTCTCATAACAAAAATTTTTCGTGTTTATAAAGTAATGTTATGTTATGTATAATAATTATGATTTAGTAGTTAGTACCTATAAAGATACTCACAATAAGTTTTCAATTATAATATAAATATACAAATATATAATACTCCATTTAATAATAAAAACCGATGGCTTATTGTTCCAGATTTAACAAAACCTCCGACGAATGCGATAAATCGGGGTATCGGCATTCAAGGTATTAGTACAATTTTTGCCGGTTTCCTGGGTACAGGTTCTGGCATCAACTCATCCAGTGAAAACGTGGGAAACATTGGTATCACCCGAGTATGTATACTAGTAATAATAATATCTCAAGCGTTATTTTATTATATTGTTTAAACTTTAAAGTTTAAAGTTTAAACTTAAAATACACTATAGTCATCTAAGCAAATAGGGGCATCTCCGCCCCTTCCCGGTGGTAATTAAGTTTCTCTTTCAACTAAAAATATAGATACTTGTATGTTTTTATACATTTTAATTAGTTTATATACGCAGAATAATATAATATTATGTATATTCATACTCAGAAAAAGTTGCTGTAAGATTTTGTTATTACTTATGGGTAAATGCGGTTAGTTTGTGGTGAAGGAGGGGCAAATAATGTTGTTATGTAGTAGTTATCTGTTAAAAAAATAATTATATCACATTAGTCACGTTAATTTAATTTGTGTTGTTGTGCCTATTCGATGGTCTCGATAGAAAATAAAGTTTTTGTATCGAGTTTCATTCTATACAGTTTATACTCGTATATTGATATTGGTTGTATACTGTGAGTATATAAAATATAAATGTCATCTTATATTACACGAAACTGTTCATTATTATCATTTAATAAACTTTTAAAATATGTAATTATAATGTATAATCTTATCATTATCCATGTCAATGGTTATCGCGATATTATGTTATTTTACTGTAGAATAACTGAATAACATAATAATTATTATTTATCGTAATGTGGAGTACAGTGTGGAGATCTCATGTTATATTTTGTATGTAGTAATTATGTGTCATATTTCAATAGCCAGAAATAAGACAACCGGTTTAATAATTATTTCAGTATTGATTTGTTTTATTTGTTTACTTTTAGGATGCTTGTTGAAATTATTATATTTATAATAAATTATAACTATACTCACGATTGTAATAAATAAGCAAACTTTTTTTTCTTTTAAAACGGATAGATCCATAGATTTTATTTCACTTATTTAAAAGTAATTTCAGTTAGCTAAAATTTTTTTAAACACTTCTATAATTGTTGTATAAATAAAATTGTCATTACTCAACAAACAACAACAAATATATATCTAGTCAAATAAATAATAACTTTAATTTCTTTAATATTGTGCAATGATATTTTAGCATCAAATAAGTTAATTTTTATCAAATTTGTTTATCTGTAAACTTGGCAAAAATAAAATATGGCATAGATAGGTATACGCAATAACAAACTGTAATTTATTACATTATTTCAATTCTTCAATATAGTTACTATAGTCTATTCGGAATGAGATCGTACTTCGGCAAAAAGTCACGCCCATGCGTAGAAATCGGCCGCCGAGGTACGATCTCATTCCGAATAGACTATAGACTGCTAAAAATATTAAAATACTTAAAAATTATAATCTCTTATAAAATATAAATAATTTTCAATCCTTTTATTGCATTGTCTTTATCTTGCTATAACTAAATTAATTTAAATCGTGTAATTAATTTATTGTAAAATAATAATTAAAAAAATAGATGCTTTAGTAGATAACCGACATCGTTAAAATAGAGTATATTTTATTTTATTCCTACTCCTTATATTTCAAAAATAAATAACAACTATTATAAATTAAATTGTACACGTGATGCTTTTATAAATAATATATATTTTTAAAATCGATAAGATAAACTATATAAATATGGACCCCGAGTACAAAAGTTATTTTATGAATGTTATATTATTGATATGTTTGCATACCTTATGCAAAACAAATAATTATTATTTTTTTAATTTATATATTTTAGTCTTTAACAAAACTAGTAATTAGCTTGTAGTTTTGGTTTTTACTATGGGGAAGGGTACGGTTTTTTGAACATGTATAATATATGTGACGAGGATTTGTCACTTAAAGCCCGGTTGATTATTCAACCGGGAACTAAGAGACACTGGTTGATGATTGATTTCAGAACACGTTAGTGACTGAGCCCAATCATTGTCCTACCCTAGGTCCAAGCAAATATTTATTTTATTTAATACAATTTCATTTTATATATTTACATAATCTAATAATAATGTAATATTATTAGTAAATTTATCATTTATGTGAAACTGAAGTATTTTCCTGCAATATTATCGTAAAACACTCGCATTTGTAGCGTAGATTAGTTTGCCTATATAAACGGCGCTCAATTATTAATTTATTTACACATAATATTATTTTATAATTAACTTACACCCACAAATAAATTGTTGATAGAATTTAAAAGACGTAAAATATAAGAAATAAATGTATAGCATTCTAACAATTAATTTAGATAATTTAATTCATCTGAAACTTTTTTACCGCGAATATTTACAAGTCATTTTTTTAGAGGATTATGTATATTTTAGCAAATTGCAATACATCTATAATATTTGAGCTTTTATAAATATTATACTATATATATAAAAACAATTATCAGTTTATAGTTTAAAAACATACTCCGATCATGTATCCTTAAATTTTTTTAAAATCAAACTATAGGATATAATATATAGGAGTTAGCTATAAAGTAACAACATTTTTGCTAGGCATTTAGGTCATTTTAATGAAAAATTTGTGAGGTTTGCATTGGTTACAACTCTCAAGTTATTTAAAATATATTATAAGTAGTAACATTAATCATTTAATAACCATTGGCGAAAATCGTGGTATTTTAGGTGTGCAGTAGAAAAGTGATCGGATTTGCAGCATGCATAATGATCTTCATGTCTACGCTTACCAAACTAATCGCACTATTGATTACTTTGCCGGATCCAGTATTAGGCGCAATGACGTCCGTGCTACTTGTGTTGATCGGAGCCATAGGCAAGTATATTTTATACGTTTTAAGCTTATAACTTAAGTTATATTTTGTGTATTGGGTTTGAAAAATGTATGGAAGTGTTAAATCCTATTTTATATACATTTTGGTAAATACCGATAAACAATTTTGACTAAATTGATGCCTAAAATAATCAAATTACAATTTCATATAATAATAACTCAAACTCATTTGATAATAAATATAATTTTTCAATTATTGAATTTAAATCATTAAAATATAAATCGTAAATTAAATTATAAATTGTTTTAACTGTAAGGTATGTTATTTGTATTTACTCATAAATCTAGATGTGATAGATTTTTAACCGATTTCGTAGCATTGCGTCTGATTCATATACTTATTTGCTTATTGCAGTTTTTTTGTTCTTCGGATGACAAAAAAGATATTTTATACCCTTTACTAGTGTGCCTGAGCTCTAAAATAATAGACTTAATTTCAATAAACTCATTCAATTATATGTTTAACTACAGATATGATTATCAAGTTTCTCTTTAATATTATTATATCTATTTTATTTATTATTGATCGATATTGTATTATTTTTATGGATTAGGTAAAAACACGATACCAAAAATTTAAGGATGCTCATTTTGTAACTAAGACTCAATAAAGAGTCTCCATAGTTTTTCATATTTATTATTTACCAATTGGTGTTTTATACTCCTATGTATAGAGGACTACACTTGGGAAAATTTTTTTCGTTTATCTCGTACGTGTACAATAGAACATGACGAAAATAAATCACACAGAGATAGATAAATCGTAAATTAACAAAGTTAGAACGATAATACCATATAATTTGATAAAAATGATTTCCTTATATCATTGTCAGTCAATATTTTTGTATAAGAGGTGATTCAGCTCAAAAATTATTTTTTAAACATTTACTGTGGATATTTATTTTCTTGATTTTTTTTTATGTTAGTATTAAGTTAGATATAAGTTTATCTTCCCACGTGTGAGAACTAATAAAATAAACCTTGGTGCATCTTATGTGGACTAGGTAATAAGCATTAATATAAATTATTTTTCCTTACGATGTTGGCGGACGCACGCAATGTTCAATTTCTAAGTTATCTGTAGATTTTCTATGATTTAATATTATTATTTATTAATGATTATAATAATGTTTTATAAATATATTTTTTACTAAATAAATTCACAATAATGGTCTTATGACCCATAGCTATATATACTATGTACCTATAATATGAATCTATGAAATAGGTATAAATGTACCTATAATTTAAACTTCTTGAGAATAAGTTATAAGTAAAATTTATTTGTTTTTCATTGCATCTGTTTAAAATTTAAATTTCGTGATAAAAATAATTTTAAAAAAACTTAAAAAAAAACAGAACCTGTTTTAAATTATTATTGGAAAGAAACAGATATTATAAAACCTATAACTACCGAGTCTCTTTGTTATTGAGTGATAAATATTTATTTTATTATTTTAAATTAATTGTCTTATTTATGTGTATTGTTTATACAGCGCTATCTAATTTACAGTTCATAAATCTCAACTCGTTAAGGAACATGTATATTCTCGGATTGTCAATATTTTTTGGATTGGTAATAATTATTATTATATAGTTTGTTTAACTTTAATAGTCATCTATTAAAATAGATAGACGGATGTTTAAACAATGAATTATTATTTATTTCAATTTTGTATTTTTTTTACTTGCAGGTGATTCCAAAGTACGTCTCATCAGTACAAGGTAATATCATCAACACCAAATATGAAACCGTCAATGATGTCGTTATTGCCTGTCTGTCCTCGGGCATATTTATCGCGGGATTTATTGGTTTTATTTTAGATAATACAATTCCAGGTAAATTTTTATTTTTAATAATCTTTTAATATTACCTAGAAGCTAGATAACACTCAAAAAAGTAGATGTTTTTTATTATCTTTCAAAAATATGTTATTTTATTCAATTGTAGTATTCCATTAATTTATAACTATATTCTTAGCTAGTCGAATTAGGCAATTAATTTATTAATTAAGTAACATTAAATTATACAATTATTTGTTTTTGAATAGTTTAATATAATAAACTACGTTAATTTTACTAAATCGCTTATTTATTAATTTCTATTTTTCTATTTTTGCGAAGTGTGATTTCCAATAATTTTCTACCTTGTAGACGATTAGAAATTATTATGATATATTATTTGTTGTCTCACTTATCTGTAGATAGTAGATAAAATATAGTTATATTCACTATATCTATGTAATCTTATCGATGAGAACTATCGGAGATGAATATTCATAACTATTGACCTTTTTATAACTTTCTATTGCCAAACCTATAGAGCTATTGAGTATTTACACATTCGCATAGGTGCCTGAGGTTAGGTTATTTGTTGTCCCTGTTATAATTGTTTAAATTTGATTTTTGCATAACAATAATAATTGTTATACATATTAATATTCCTCTGTTTCTATAATTTATAGATTATTTATGTGGCTTGTATATTACCGCTATATCATTTTAAATTGAAATTTAAGCACAATGGCCAGTATATGTAATATAATAATAATGTATGATTCAATGTTTATATAATAAAGAATTATTAGAATTTTTTTGTCTTAAAAATTTTTAAATAAAACTCAAACGCCTTAAAGAAAAAAAAATGTAGCCATTTTATTCGAAATTTGAATTATTCATAAGTGGAATGATCTTTTGATATTTGAATATAAAAATTATGGTTTAACGTTTAACGAATACATAACGATAAATATACTCGTATATTTAATTATATAATCGTATGGACACCAATACGCCGTAGAGTCTAATTTTATATATACATAATATATTACATTATAATTTAAATAACTATTTTAATCTATACATACGCATTATTTTTAGTGTTTATTTTATTTTTTAATTTACATTTTTTTTTCATGTTCCGTTTAACAGACGACGACAATGCAATGAACACTTACTACAATCCCGATAAACTACTTAAGAGTCCCAGTAATGACGCGAATGAACAAGTATACAAGATTTCAGATTATCTCTACGATAAAATTAATATTATTTTAACATTTTTCGTATAACACACGTAATATAAGTATTTAATAATATTATGCGAATATAATATAATATCTATGTTTCTCGATAAAGCATAATATATATTATGTATATTCGATTGACTGAACATTTTTATTTTTAACTGTATTTTATTTGTGTATTTATTTTATTTAATTTTATCACGTCGATGTATTAATTATCTATAATAATAGCATTGTAATTTGTAAAGTTCGACGACTGTGTGCGCTTGATTTGTTTCATGACATGACAGAACTATTAATTTCCTGTGTCTATTTTATTATATATATAATATATAAGTATATGTTTTGATGGTGATTGGTTTAATATATTATATAGGCTAAAACGTCATGGTTATTTGCAGGTTCAAGACGAAGTTTTGAATAAAACACGTCTAACACAATAATTCGGTAAAAATTCAACCATCGCGTATTAGCTTGTATATTTAAGTAGATGGAGAAAATATTGTTGAAGCAGTTTTCGTTATTATAAGTTAAGGATTTTATACTGTTTTCTTTATATCACAGTCAATTGTACTGGCAGTATAAAAATATGAATCATAGTAGTGATAATGACCATGGACATAATTTCACATGTTCGTAATATCTCTCGATATTTAGGAACAATATAGATATCTTAAAATTATCGAATTTATATGTTTTAACTATAGGTAAGTTGATAATTTTTAAAAACAAAAAAAAAAATGTCCATATTTTATTATTTTTGTATACTTAGTGGACACTTAATCTATTTTCCTTTATTTTACTTCAATTACGAGTATTATCATACTATTAATTTACTTTTAAGAAATTTTAAGATCCCAAATTTTTTTTGTTCGTAAATTAAAGTTTTGCGTTCATAGAATAAAAACTTTAGTAAGTACATAACTTGAATTTAATATGTACCTATAAATAATAACTAATTTAAATTAATATTGATAATTGGTATCGTTGGTCGTTACTAAAATATAATTCAATGTCCCATATAAATTAAGCAGTAAGACATCTCATAAAGGACACCTTTAAATAGAGGACTTTTTTTTTGGAATGAGGATATTTTAACTATTTTTCAATAAAAAATATCTCCAAATGGCGCGGACATTTTAATCTTAATTTAAAAATAATGAAAAACAACAGAAAAATGCATTTACACTAGGTAGTATAATAGTATAGCGATAATACAAATACGTTCAAAAACCGGTTCAAAAACACCAAATCGAATTATATTTAAGTATGTATGCATTCCTTTTTCCACATTTGTTTTCATTTATTTAAATATGCGTTGTTAAAAATGTTAAAATACTTAAATTATTATATCATTAAATCATTTAACAATAATATAATAATTTAATTTAATTTAATCTAGCACATAATTTTTCCTTTTATACGTTTACCCTTTATGAATTTAAAAAAATTGCTCTCTCTCTGAATAGCAGACACTCCTGATAGCAGATGAAATTTCGGTAACCAAGAGTGTTCGCTAATCAGAGGTTTCATTATACTTAAAAGTCGACAGCCAAGTATTGCTTAAAGCTTAAATAATAGCGTATTACATTTTCTAGAATAATTGCATCACAGATTATATTTATTTTTTTTTTGATAAATCTTGTTTACTTAAAAAAAAGGAAGAAAATATTTTTCAAAACTACATAGCAATAATATTGTTGACTTGCTCAACTCACCAATGACTAAAGTAGTACAAACGCTTTTGTATATTTACATACTTATTATAATTTATAATATTTGCATTAAGTAGTCTAGACAAGTTTTTAAAATTGTACAAAAACATCTGATTTAATTGCTTATATTTACCATAGAATATTATTGAATTTATAATATTATAAACGTTGGAAATATATCATAATATTATTAACATCAACATATGTTGATGTTTGTTGTGACATGGACGTACCTATATGTGTGTATATATATGTATATTATATTATTATTTATTATACGTATCGTATTGTATAATAAAGTGATTTTTTACATTATAGAACACTTGATATTTAGAAAGGATGGTTAAGCAATAACTGGTAGTCGGAAATTATTCACGATTTTATTTATCATCTATGATATTTACTTAAATTAACTTAAAGATTACTTAAATTATGTCTATTTAACATTTTTTAAATATGTATAGCGAATGTCCTTCGTTAAAATAATCGCTTTACGTTTATGATTACTAATTAGTGATATTATTGTGACTATTTTAATTTATTATTATTTTTTTTAATTTTTACAGTCATAATCGGAAATCCAATCACAAGTCAGAAAAAATGAAGAATAAAATGACTCACAAAACCCCGCCCCGCATGCTTTATGTATAAATGTATGGAAATATTGTAAATAATACATAATATTTAACGTTGTTTTATGTATACAGTATTACAGTATACACTTAATTGTATACAAATAATATAATTTAAAAATGCCCAAAAATATATTGATGTATTATTGCTTTGTTTAATATAGATTTTGATTTAATCGATACTTACAGTAAATCAATTTGTACAAAGACATTCAATTTTTTCATTCGTCTTTCCATGTAATAGTATTATAAAAGTTGGCGATAATTTCGTTATTTTGCTGTAGAGAATAACATATACATGACACAGTGGTTAGTCATCGCGCCGAGTTAATAATATATACGTTATTATTAATATTGTACTGTAATTTTTTTTTAGAATGTTTTCACACAAAAATGGTCATGTGTTTATATCCGTTTAAATAAATTATACAGTGTAACACATATCAAAAATTACATGATTATATACTATATTATAGGTATAAATGCTAATATTATTTTAAAAACATTTATATGATCATTCATAATTCATTTACTTTATAATCGTGTTGTTGGTGACAACATTTAATTTTTTAAAATTATGGATGGGCGATTTCACGTTTAATTTAAATGTTCAATAAGATCATCAATAAAGGAAGGATAATAATGTTGTATCCGTTTTACTAACGTATAAATGTATAATGTATAAAATTTACGTTCGGATTCTACAGTTTCAATTTTGTGTTTTTACTTTTTTAGCTTTAATATTATAGTGATTAATTCATTATTAAACTTAAAAGTTAGAAAATAATTTTTTTTCTTTTCGATGGTTTTAAAAAACAGAATAAAACTTTCAATAAAGCAATGGAAACCAATGCTTATTGTGTGAAGGTAGGTAATATTATATTAGTTATTAGTAATAACTTATTACAAAGCCACGCATAGGTTCGTGCTATTATATGACACATTATTAATGTAAATACGTTGATATGTCGAAAATACATATTTTATTTGTTGTTATTGTGATTTTTGATACTACAGAATTTTTATCATACATTAAAATGATTATCCTGCTGAGGACGGTGAAAATCTTTGTGTTATCGCTATTATGTAGTCACATCAACGAACAGCGGCGACCAGCACCATTATAGCTAGTACAATGACGTAGGTTTAAACACGTAGTTTGTCGAAGAATATTAGATATTAAAAATAGATGTCAAAATGCGTATAGCATCTAAAATAATATTTTAACAAGCGAACATATGGATAAATGATCGATTTTATCGGAAACGTAATATCGCTGGATGCATACAAAACGCGTAATAATCCCTATTATAATATAATGTACAATTTTACAACTTTGTATTATCTATAGTATATAAAATGATTCATCAAGAATTCTCATTCCCATTTTTCCTTTTGATAATTAACCTATTAAAATTTTTAAGTTTTTAGGTACCTATATAATAACCATATTCTCAAATACTTTAATATTTTTATAGTTTTTTACTATTCAAAAAGTGTTCTGTAGTAGTTCTAACTTTTTTTTTTTGTAACTTATTAAGGAAATGATTTTTTGAAAATTTTAATATTCCCAAATTGAAAATAAAATGAGTAATTTTTGAGTTATTTTATTGTAGGTCAATGAATTATGATTTTGGAAGGTATGGGTGGTACGATGATTTGAACATTTTAGTAATTAATATTAATCAATCAATATTTTATAATTTGTAAGAATTGTCCAAGTTAAATTATAATATTAAATTAAACATTAGATACATATATTTTATAGTTTTGAAAAATCATTTTAAATGATTTTAGTATATTTCTATAGATAATATTATCTTAAGTAATGTACATTTTAATAACTTATAGATACTAATCTTTAAAATTTTTATCTAAGTAAGCATATTAATAATTTCAAAAATTTATTGGCATAATAATTTATAGAAAAAAAAGTTAGTTTTAATTGATAAAAATTAGTTGTTATATCCCTAAAGGCTAAATGGCACTATTTAAATGGCATAATAAATTTTAGTATTTAAAAATAAGGTTACTATATTGTATATTAGGAAGTTAGAACTTGAATAATTTTATTATCAAAGGAAAAAAATTGGAGGTATGCATATTGTAGTTCACTCTGTATATGTATTTAATATAAAGTAGCCAACTCTCCCTCTTTTTTCCCAGCATATCACTATATTTTCGTGTGTATTTTATAATCCCGTAGGCGTCAACATACTATGTAGCATCCGCCCGCGGATATCATAATATTATAAATTTATACTATTCACTTTGTAATATAAAATTGTTTTCATTTCCTACTTATATATCGTATTATATATTATACAGGCATATTATAGAGTTTTATTCTTTTGCCCTTCATCGGCCCAATTTCAATATAAAATTTTCCAAAAATCATGAAAATAATGATCCATTTTAATAGCTATAAATTATAATACCTATATAAAACATGACAATTTAATGCAAGGTTTTTCATAAGTATACGCAATTTTATGTTTAAATATTCGAAGTTTAAAGTTTGATCAAACTTAAGTGAAAAATAAAAATTTTAATAAATTTGTTGAATCTAATTCGAAGAATATTATCTATAGGAGTCACTTTTTCTTATTATACTCGTATATTTTATATACCTATCAATATTATTTTTCTTCTATCAATGATAATAAAATAAAAGAAAAATTACGGTGGTAGTTATCGGTACTAAATTGAGTTTACTTATAGTACTTACC